GTGTGACAAGTGCAGCGATTCAGGTTAAACGTCGTCGCCGTCATATTTGTTGCCTTCTTGGCGAACAACTGAGAGCTGACCTCATGACCTCAAGACCGACGACAGTCGGTGGTTCGATCGGTGAATCTCGAGCGCCTGGGTGGTTGCCGTCGTCGGCCTTACATTCGAGTTCCGGTGTCCCTCAAGTACGGAAGTGAACGCGCGCGCGCATCTTTTCTCAGCGCAAAGACCCTGTGGGAGGCGCGTTGTCTGTCACTCGAAAATGAATAAGGGCCATTGCAAAAACAGAGCCTGTTACTTCCGGGCACTGTTGTCGTTGCCACGGTCGTTCCTGACACGCATGCCGCCGCCATCGTCGCCGCATTGTTGCTTTTCGGGACAGCTGTCGGTGCGCTACGGCGGCGGCCGCCCGCAAGAGAAACACCAGGCAACTTAAGGCTGGGTTGGCATTTGCTCCTGCCCCCGGTAGGTAGGTTTGTAACACTCAGCACCGTCCGTAGCCGACACTATCACTGTACACAGTGCGAATGTCGCCGCTCTTAACTTAATTTGCGACTAACTTCTCGAGTAGTGGCCGTTCACCACCACGAGAGTGGATGATGCTGCACTGACCATCTGCCATTTATTCTATTCCTTCTGTCAGCCGACTTCGACTTTCCACTTGACCCAGATAATCTCTCGGTGGACATTTGAATTCGACGAACACCAAGACACGCAGAACCCTCCGTCGCTCTGAATCCGCCGCTTGCCGCTCGCCCTGTAACTCAATCGGCTCATTAATCGCCATTTATCATACATCTGATTCGTTTCACTGTTGCTGCCCCCGACTGTCGCTTATGTCACTGGTGCGATTAATCCGTCGCAGGCATCTCACTATGTCAGTAGTTGTCGCGCTGTCTCGTTGCGCTACTCGCTTGTTCCTCAGGTGACCCGCTTTTTTCACAGCCATCAAATGGCCCGTTCTGCTTGGCCATGTTCTCCCTTGCATGCATGTACCTGTACGCCGATCGGCATTTCGATTTTTTGACAAGTTCGATTTTTTTCTCTCTTCTCAGCCACCGCGGTGATCTACTCTACTGACCCGCTATTACGTGCGTTAGGTGGTCTAGCCGCCGAGACGATAACCACACAGATACACTGGCAAAGGTGATATAGACGACACGTGGTCATCCGCTTTCTACGTCTGCGCACAAATGCGTGTTTCCTGTTTTTTACCTTTATCCTCATTTACCCTCGGCGAAACATTCAGATCGTGGTATCCATTTCTTTTCTTTTCACCGCCTTAAGCCCGTGCAAACTGTGAACTGTACTCAACTATCTCTCATACGCATCATTTCTACGTCAGTGATCAATAAGTTATTCTTACAAGCCTCAAATGACTGGATCGTTTGCCTTGAGTTATTAGAGCTAAAGGAAACGATCAGCAATACGGTATATTTATCATAACGTTAAGCGATTATCAATCGCATAAGGC